GTTTATAGCCGGGCGGAGGCACCCATTTCTTGCGGGGTTTCTTCACTTTAGGCTCTTTTACGTGACTTTTTTGTTCATGTTTTTCGAGTGCCTTTTGCTCGTAAAAAGAGCGCTTACACCCCGTTATGGAGCACCAGAATCGGGGCCGCGTCGACGCGTGTACTGTACGTAAATCTAAACACAAATACATTGATTTTCAATTGGCAATTATGTAAGTATTGAATCAAAAACTCTTTACGTAATCTCATATTCTTCTTGGATATGAACGTGGATTTGCAGCCCTCGTGATGGCATTTGAATGGCTTCTCGTCCTTCTTATGGGTGCTGAACACGTGTTCCGTTAGCTATGAGATAGAGTGGACACAAATGTGTTAAACAATATCACTATTATTAGGTGTGGTATTGAATACCTTTGAGGGACAGATAAATGATTTCTCACATCCGGGATAATAGCAGACATGCTTTCGAGGAGTGTCTCTGTTATGAGTAAAACTATGGCATCGAAGTGTGGATAAGTGTCGAAATGATTTGCCACATTCGGGCCAATCACACTCGTATGGCTTCTCTCCCGTATGCATTGTCATGTGTCCGTCCAGTCGCGACGGTTTGCTGTAATCACGGGTTCCGCGCAAACGATACAATCAATTGTTATAATTATAATACAGTATTGAATAATGAAAATAATTACTCGTATTGTTGATCACATCCCGGCCACTGGCACTTGAAGGGCAGATCACCGGTATGTCCCCTATTCAATGTCCAAACAAACAATTACATATTTGGTTCACATTCTTAACATCACTTATTGCCTGAGTCTGTAGGAGATATGTCTTATACAGACAGTCACTATAACTGATCTGTGGGACAGCCCTACAAATAACTCAGCAATATATTAAACTATAGCCACAAACCCGTAGTGCTTGTCGAGAGCCGCTTGGGATCTGAATGAGAGGCCACAGTCAGGCCAAGTGCAGGACAACTCTGCCCTCTTCTTCTCAGTGGAATAGCCGCTAATATTATGCTCTTCTTTCATGTGATCCCTTAGCCGTAATTTCCATACCTTTTGCCCACATTTATAGCACGAAATGGTCTGACATTTGCCCCGAATGTTATGCTTTCGGGCCATATGTATGCCTAAAGACTTGTTATTCTTGAATTTCTTATCGCATTCATTGCAAACCACATCTAAATAACAATTAAACTAATCATTA